TGTGGGACGAGGTCTCTTTATTACATGTATGCTGAAAGGGAGGTATCGTTTTATTCTGTGAACTAATATAACGATGACAATGATTAATGGTGGGATTTGTCCAGAAATGTGGCCACAAAAATCTGTCTTAATGCAGGTTCAGAGACTGTAATATTCTCAGTGCTGGCACAGAGAATTGGGGATTTTGTTTTTCCAATCCCTAAGCAAAAATTGTTTTCTCCAGTTCATGGATGCTTTTTTCTACTCAGTTATTTTGTACTTCATCCGTATAAACCTTGTTTACTAATTTAAATGCATAACAGGCACAGTTTCAATAACTAATTTGTGTACATTTCTTCACAAAAGTCAGGTAGGATAACATTTCCCTGGAGAAGGTATGTAAGAAGTCAAAAAAATGTGTGACATGATTGCATCAGTCAAATACACACAATTACCGAGCTGTTGAAATGCACACTCATTTCATGTATTTATGTTTTCATTCTTAAAGAAAACAAAAAGAACTCAAACATTATTTTTATGCAAAGGAGATACACTCATTCTCATCCTTTTAACTTAATGTTCAGCACCCTTAAATATAAATTAATAATTTACAACTCTACAATTATATTCAAATCACTGAGGGAAGGGAAGCGATACCTTTGTTTTTCTTCCAGTTCTTTTTAATGGAGTCTGTAGCCGTTATAATCATGGCAGATGTTACACTTTGACTATTACTGTTGTTCCAATATGTCTGCCTAAATTTACAGAAAACTTGAAGTAGAAATAATGGGCTGTGAATTTCCGTGTTCATTTCAGTTATGCATTAAGTAAAATGCCAGTTTAAAGTTAGCTTTAAAAATTAGTACTGATAATTATGAGAAGGACACATCTTATTGTTTCTTCCAAAGTACATCTAATTGCAGGAGGTCTGTGTGGATAAAATGAAGAATGATGCCAAGCATATAGAAAATTTGTATGTTAAGGCCTTTGAGAACATATTGCATGATCTGTTGGGAAAACATAACTGGTTATATTGCATCCATTTAGCTTGAAGACGGACCCAGCTTTCATCAGTTTGGTAAATGTTATGTCAGGTAATGTGCAAAAGACTATGAGATCATGAACCATTGACAAAATACAGGTTTTATATTTGTAAGGTGGGTAAGATCTTTATTGGGAGCTGTAAGTTCAGGCAGTGATGCATTGAATCACACACATAAACAAAAGTAAATTCTCCTCCATCTCTCTATCCATAAATTTCCTTCTCCTTTGTAAACCAGTGCTGTAGTCCCAGATTTAATTAAAACAGTGATTAAAGTATCTGTAACTGCACACTCAAGCATAAGCTATAGCACACTCCTTAACAGCAGAGATGCATGCGTATCATATTTTTGTAAACCTGTTGTTTTCCCTTAGAAGCAGGCAAGCTAGTGTTTCATCTTAATGATGAACATGGACTGGACTGAAACATTATGTGTCCCAGGTCCAAGGACAGCGTGAGTAGGTATTTCTAAAAGCTGTGCATATGGGGTACGTGCCTGTTCTCCTTGCAAGGAGCACAGTATTTTTTTCATTCTCTCACACTGTTGCTAATGTACAAAACCAGGACTGGAATTTTTAGTGTTGTGCAATGTTGTACTTACACTGTGAGTTTGATTGATTGGTATTTGCAATGCTGGCGGCGGGGGGGTAATGTTTCTTGTATGTGTGCTAATGGTTGTCTCCAAGCCATACCATTTGCTTAACTGAGATCCTGCCTTGGTGCAGAAATGAGACATACCATGTTTGTGGGTCTGTTTCGTACCACTGGTGGCAGTGGGAACTCTGTCAGCAATTTCAGAGGGAAGGGAATTAGGACATCTAGAATGATGTAAGTTTTATTGAATACTAAATAACGTTCCTTAACAAGGCAAAATAACTCTTCTCTTTCTTTCATTACTTTTCTGCTTCCTTTGCCTTTGTCCCCAGCTTTTATCCTCTTACTTTCATAATCACGAGAAGCCAAATTAATCTCAGGTATAAGACTGCCAAACCAGCTTTGAATTTCTTTGACTGTTATGAGACTTCATACTTCGAGCCCACCAATGAGGGCCAGAGACTAGCTAGGTCCTACCAGCTGAGATACTGGGTGGCTCATTAATTTGGCAGATCCATCTCCCACTCAGCCTCAGATGTCCGCATGTAAAGACACATCATCTACTTGTATCATGGCAGGTATCCATTCACTCATGAGTCACTTTATTTTCTTTTTGTATTAGGTATGCTACAGGTCATATGCTTTGCTTCCAGTAAAAATCACTTACTCCCTCTGTAAGTAACAGTGTAATCAAATCCTGAGAGAGTAGGAGGGAAGGGACCCAGAATAAGAGGTTAAAAAGCAATCCTCCACTCAGAGAAGTAAAGCAATAAAAATAGGGTGCTCAGCTGGCGAAATTGTGGAGAGAGAAGGAGAGAAAGATTAAAAAATTAATCTCCAGAGTATAAAACTACAACTGAGGAATGAAAGTAGTTTCAAAGTGGCTGAACAAAAGGGAGGGAGAAGGTAAAATAATGAAATGGTAAATCCACATGGGCAAACTCAAAGATGACAGTCAGGATCAATGAAAACAAATGATAAGCAAAAAAAGCAAAACACACAAAACATTCCTATCCATAAGCCAGAACAAATGATTAGGATAACAATTTGACATGCTTTTCGAATTTTTGAAGGAGGGAAAACGGCAACAGAAATAGTGAGGGGAACAATTTTAGAAACTGATAGTGGAAGTGAAAGGCTTCTATTCAACAGTTTCTCTATCTAATAATCTAAAAGTTTTGCTGTTCCAAGTATAAACCAGACAATATAAATTTACCTTCAAATGAGAGCAAACATGATTTATTTTAATTTATATGTATTTACATTCTATATGTGGTATATGATGGCTTTATTTTAAATAATAATGTCTCTGTGGAATCACTGTAATTTTTGTTCCTGAGTAGGCAGGTAGATTGCAATGCAGTATCTTGACAGAGAGGTGGCAACTCCGTGCACCACTGCTCTAACAGAGGTGGAATAAAGTCTGAAGAGTCCCAACCTTGTACTGACAACAGAGCCTTGTACTGACAACAGAGCATAGGTATTCTCCTTTACGTCAACCAGAGTTTGTATTTCTGGAGCAGGGCAAGCTGGTTCGCAACCTTGCTGTCCTGTATATTTTCGTATACGTGGTAGCAACGAAACATAGGATTGCAACATCCAGGTCACTCACCTATCCTCATCCATGGAGCAGGAAAATCTCTTTATGCTGGAAAGCAGCAAAAACAGCCAGCAGAAACGTTCAGCTTCAAACTCAGCTGCCTGGATTTCAGAGCCTTTGAGGATGTCTATGCCTAAGTTTCCATTACAGTCACTGGAGCCTACTCAGCTCACCACGGGCATTTATTTTAGGAAGAGCTGAACAGCTCTCTAGACTAAGTCTAGCCTCCAAGCGTCGCTGCCTGAGATCTTGACTGACTCTAACGGGACTTCAGACGCTTTGCTGATGTATGGAGACCTGCGTGTAGGAGTCTGAATCCGCAAGCCGACGTCCTGCCCTTTGGGTGCCGTAGCCCGGGCACAGCCCCGGGGAGCCCCTCGGAGCAGGCTGGGTGGACGGGACGCACGTCGGACCCGGCAGTTTGGGCTTCAGCGGCCACCCAAGCCCTGCCACCGCCGTCCCGCAGCAGGAGGCTGCACGGCCCCTGGCAGTGGTCCACAGGCCGGCGAGCTTGGTGGGGTTTGTTCTGGGGCTGGGATCGAGGATATAAGGTATCTTGCACAATGAAGAATTTGGCGGGTACCGTTTTGCTCAGGATTGGTGGCTGTTTTCTCTACTGAGGGCAAACATACTGGCTGAAGCCTCTGTGTTTCATAACCCCTGCGTGCAAAGTATCCCACTGTCATTCATCGGGCCTTCATAATTTCTGCTAAAAAAATAAGCTGGGCCATTGGAAAAAAAGAAAGAAAAGGCTAGGTCGTTTGTTCTTATAAGGACTGATTATAAAATCCATGACTGTTGTTTAACATCCAGTTCACTCTAAGTCTGTTGGCAATGCTCCCTCCTGTATTTCCTGAACGTGTTCTTACAAACAAGTTTTCTGGAGGGGTGAGGGCTGACGCAGGGAGTTTGAAACTCAGCTGAGAGGGGAGAGTTACTTTTTGTGTTTATGACTGTGAGTATTTGTTGCTGTGTCTAATGGGACCCCTGACTTAAAAGATACTGTCTAGCTTACAAAGTAAAAACAAATATTACATGTCAAACTCCTGTTTTCATATTAAACCCTTACCAAACTAAAAAAAAAAGAAAAAGAAAAAAAAGAAAAATATTCTTGAGAAATCAAAAGTCCTGGAATTTTCTATGTCAAGCCGATCTGACTCAGGCAGTACAGACTAAAGAGACAACTTTTTTGCTTGCGGTTTAAATAGGATGAGGTTAATTAATATTGTCTTCCTAAATGTAATCCCTTTCTCCAGTGATATGATATCGTGATTCTAATTTTAATTACAGAGACGGGTGGGTTGGATCACTGAAATTGAGATTTGGGTTGGGGTGTGGATTTATAGCCCGGCTCCTCCCTGTAAAGGTTGAGACTGCTTGTGTCTGGACTCATATTTTCAATTAATTTACGGTAATTAAAGGGTGCTGTGTGGGATGGTGCTAAAGAGAAACACAATTAAGATGTAATGCTTCTCCTTTGGTATCTGCATCCTTATTTATTTTAAATGGTCTTTAATGCTCTAATGAGTTTAAGTCTTCCTGTATCACATACTGTGCAAGCAGAAATATGTGAGTGAACTGTTGCCAATGGCTCGGAGCAAGCATGGGGCATGTTTCAGATTACATGGTGTTTTCTTGTTCAGATCTGATCTCCTTGCTAGGAGAGGCTGAGAAAGGCAGCTCTAGGGGATTTACTTCTAGCAGCAGCAGCAGCACATGATCCATCAATCGCGTGATTCTCTCCACCGAGGACTAATGGGGAGGGTGAAGAAAAAGTGAACGCTGCCTTGGGGAAGCAACAGCATTTTCTTCTGTTCGTGGGGCCCCTCCACCAGCTGGACGCTTCATGGCTTCTCCCAGGTTAGAAACCTACTGCTGCCCGAACCGGGATGCAGCTACCCAGCTAGTGATGAATTTCCAGCCTGAAGTCTTCTGTGGAGTTTGCATTGGCAGCGCCTCTGTCAGTCTGTTACTGACCATCCTGCAGCTCCTGCCGAAGAAGGGACAGAGCCCGCGGAAGATGCCCAAAGCCTCCTCCTCTTCCACCATCCTTCTCCTTATCTCCATTTGTGACATCCTTGGTGGCTTAGGTAAGCGCCAGCTTGATGTCCCTCACCTTTGCTGTAGCAGGCTCTGGTTGCGCTGAGGTACCGTAGCTAAATGAATCTGGTGAGTGGACAACAGAGATTTCTGAGGAAAACATGCTGTATGTATTCACAGGAAGATTTGGGCTAAGTGAGATCAGAAAGTGGTGGGCCTTTGGGGGGAGAAAGGTCTTGTTTAATAGTTATATTTTAGAAGTAAAAGCTTCTGACAAATCTACACCAAAATCTCTGCTTTCAAACAAATTAAAATCCACAGCAGTGGCTGGTTCTCAGAGTAAAGCATAAAAGCGGAGGCGAGGCAGCACATTTAAAACTAAAGCTGGCATCAAACACTCAGCTGATCTTTAGGACTACATTTGAAAAACACTTCCTATATGTCTTTAAATTCTCTCAGACCAAGTTTGCCGTCTTGTTCATGTGCCAGCCACTTCTCTGGGCACATCACATCGACAGCAAACGAGTTGGAATTGCAGCTGTACACAGATCATGCTGGACACAGGCTTTTGAAATGTGAGCAAAGCTCCTTATCAAGGACAACCTGCTGCCGGCCCCTGGCTGATAGGCTGGAGGAATATAACAGAGAATAAAACAAAACTCGTGAGTCAAAATGAAACTAATGTGTCTAAATCTGTCCTGTCACTCTATGGCATTTACTGCCAAATTAGGTATAAATTACCGTGACATATGCTATGAAAATACAGGATGGGTTTGTTTCTACAATAACATTTTTCCCCTCACATTAGATAACAGAGGTAGTGCTGTTTTGTAAGTCTCTCTCACTGCCTGGGGAAGGAGTGGGATTTCAGGTCTTTTCCCCTTTCATACCTAGCCAGGTTCTCTCATGGTACATGGTAAGTACCAATATTAAAACAAACGATAGAGGGGGAAATAAAGAAAGAGAGAGATGGAAAAAATGTGTGTGCATTCACCTGGAAAAGGTCCTTTCAGTCAGGTGAGGCCAGCAGTAAATAAAGTTATTTTTCTCCCTTTCTCTTTCACCAGCAAACTCAAACTATTTATCCATCATTGTCTTTGAATTAGAGTCACTTTGGTGGGTGCGAAACTGTTCTCTCTTGGTGGGAAACCTGGTGGTTTTGTTCTGCCATATGTTGGTGCTTTAATGCCTATTATTTCAAGCAAACCCAAAAAATCTCACTAACAAACTGTAAGTTCATTTAAAAAAATGTGTATTGTTCTCACCTAATTCCAAAGCCCTGCTTTGTTCAGTCCTGTGACAGAGAGGAAAAGAGCTGCTTGTAAAAATGAAGGCAGCGAAAAGTGGGAAATAACTTTTTTCTGCAATAAGGGATTATAGAGAAATTAACATTAGCTTATGAATAAATGCTGGTAAAGTTGTAAATAGTTAGTTACTGGTTTATGGCAATCTGTTAAACGCCACTTGATTAATTTTAGGAAGTGCGTGACAGTATCTGTAAGTAAGTGAGATTTTAATTTACATAACATTTCAAGTCCCAGCAGCTTCAGACTCTTGCGGCTACTTTCCCTGAGCGATTACACTGATGTTTAAATAGCACAGTTGTTCCTGCCGTGCTCCTCTGCAGCCGTAGCCTTCCTGTGGACGCACAAAATCTGGGCTGCGATGTGAAATATGTGGCCGGGGAGAAGCATGTGATTCAAATCACACCAGCAGCTTCAAAGCATTAAGACTTTTTTTTTCTTTAGGTATGATCTTCAGGTCAAGTGTATGGCTAGGCTTCCCAGGCTTCATAGCTAACATTTCTGTGGCGAACGGGACCGACGTGTGGCCTTCTGCCTTCTGCGTGGGGAGCGCGGTAGGTACAGAGATCGTCTCCCCTTCCTCCTGCTCCCGGTTGACTCCGTGCGGCGAGTCTGAAAGGCAAACCACTGTGTCCGAAAGGAAATTTGGCTGTGAGTCAGAGCCTGGATGTGATGTTTTCAGCCTCTGCCACAGCCCTGCAAGTGTGTTCGTGCCTCCCTCCGAAAGCCTGGCTCAGGGTGCTGGATGCTGCCCGGTGCGTGGGAGGACACGGGGCAGTGCAGGTCAGGCTGGTCCCAAGCGTTTCGTGGTACTCGCTCATCTCAGCAGTGCTGAGATGTGCAGAGGGCACACCTCTACTGAAGTCAGGGATATGGAGGCGTAAGGGTATAGGCATTCCCGAATGGGCTGTGAAACCGCCGGTTTGGTTTGTGCCGGCACAGCATCGCAAATGCCTCGGCGGCTCCATCGCACCGTGGCATGAGGGTATCTGCCCGCCTTCTCCAGCAGGAATTACAGCCTGCGTGGTGGCAGCGGGGACCGACTGAAACCGGCAACTCGGGTAGCTCAAATTAGCTTTTGTGGCAGGAGAGCGTGTGCTTTAGATGCAGAGGGACTGCGGGATAAATACAGCCAAAGGCGCAAAGCTGCTGGCAGAAGGTCTGTCCCTGCTATGCGGGATTACAGCTCAGATTGCTGCTTATATGGGCATTCAACCACTGCATCTGGCCAAGTCTAATTAAATACCTTCTGGATTAAAACACAAGAATAAGAAAGTGTAAATGCATTCCAAAAGTGCAGATTAAAACTCAAATATTACAAGCACAGTACTAAGACATATAATTTTAGTTTGCTGTACAAGAAAAAAGGCCACGTTTTTTACCAAAATGACAAATAAGACAGACCACCATTTTACCCAAATTCAATAGGAACATAGGGGGCCCAATGAATTCATACATGAGCAGTAACAATATTGGCTTTACAATTCAAAGTTTACAATATAGAAGAGAATATACTGCATGTAAACAGAATTATTCAGCTCCAGTAGTTTTAAAATAAAATGTGTGCTAAACTGAACTCACTGTACCTTATATGCCTATATAATGACAATTTCAGACATGACAGTGTTGTGCCATAGAAGCAAATACCAGTTGTACGCAGCTATCGATTCTCAGTTCCATCATACATGTTTAAGTTTTGCTTTTTAGATGCAAATGTTGATTTTTTTTCTTTGAGGAAGAGGAAACCAGCAACATCAATATCTTGTAGCAAGAATGTCCTATTCAAAAACCATGTTTCCCTATGTCTTAAATTTCACTTTCTGGCCCTTAACACAAAAAGTAGTATAAAAATACTGTGACAAAGATACTGTATGCAGACTGTTTGTTTTTCATTTGGATCTCAGGTTAGATGGTGAGCAGCATAGCGGTCTACCACAATTTTTATTTTCCCTTTCTTGGGCTCCGGCAAAGTGCTGTAATTTGAGTCACTCGCTAAACTTAGATTTAATTATATTGGAATGAAAAACGACCCTCCTTCCATTCACTTTCCCTAACATATTCTCATGTGAGTTAATAAAGTGTTTCTGATTCTATTTTCATTTTCTTTAGTACTATTGTTTTATTTTACTTAAGCACAAGCCAATACAAACTCCAAATAGCGAGGCCTTTAGGCATCTCCTTTGAATCACACCCTTTGGTTTGCAGAGGGGGTACCCTCTCAGGCACTGTAGCAAGATATGTCATTTTTCGGAAAAGTGAGACAGCATATGAAGATTTTGGTTTTAAGTGCATCTGATATATTATTTTTGGAGACAGTCTTGTCTTCATTGGATTTTCTGGGTGGAAGGACCCTGCAGTTTATTTTTGTATGTGTGTGTATGTATAGGAAATTGTGCATTTTTCAACTGCAGCAAATATGTAAAAGTGCAGATGAAGTTACATGCTGAGTGCTGTGAGTACAGCACATTAGAAGGAAGACTGGAATTTTATTTTCTGGCTCCTGTGCACTAGGAAAATGTCATGATGTTTGAATTAAATAATGAATAATTCGTGCCGCAAATGACTAGGGATAGGGTCTACACCCATGGTGAAAGGAAATATTTCCCAGCTTGATTTGCCTTTTGAAGGGAGGAATGGTAGACCTCTATTCACTGACGTTTGGCTCAGTAACAAGTATGTTGCTTTCCAGCTGTAAAATGATGCTACTATGGAGCTGTGATAAAGGATATTCAGATAAGAACTGAAAGAGGGCTCAGGGGGAAGGTAATCAGAATATTAAAATAGTTCCAGGCTATTACAAAGAGCCAGCTCCCATGGGGAAGAAATTTGGAATTTATGAACAGTGGCAAAGAAAGGTCACTTATGTAGGCTCATGGGAAAAATGCATGGGGTCAGCTCATGAACACTGTAGAATTTAACTTGACTTGAATCTGTTTCCTTTGGATTTTTATTGAAGAAATCTGTCAGAGAGTTCAGTAAGGATAATTTTTCCAGAAGGTGAGTGATATTTTTGTTAATGACCTTTTTTTCTTAATAATCATTCCCTGAATCGGGTTCTTGTGCATGGAGGAAACACCCGTCACATGCAGAACCCATGATGCATAGGCACACTGTGGTGATGACTGACCTCGTTATATTTTCATGCCTCAGCTACTGAGAAACTACTAAAATTCTAACCTAAATTTAAAACATCCTCACTATAAATTTCTTCGGGCTTCATTCACAACATTGAGGGTTAGGACTGGAGAGGTAAATAACAGGTTCTCTAAATGACAGAGTAAGCTGTGAAAGCAAATGCTGTACAATTTACCTATGACTTGACCCGTTGGCTACAGCAATGCTGTTCCTGTGATTTTTGAGTAAGATTTCATACTTCATAATCTCAGCTGGAAAATACACACATTTAAAGAACAAATCACCAGGCTAAAGGTTTGAGTCCCTCCCCTGTCCCCCGTGGTACTTGAGAAGCAGCTGTGATATTTGGCATTTTTTTCCCTGCAGATGTGGATCCAGCTATTATATAGCGCTGGCTTCTGGTGGTTGTTTTGCTATGCCGTTGATTCTTACTTGGTGGTAAGAAGATCAGCTGGACTGAGGTACCAGAGTTAAAGCTCTGAATCTGTTATTTTCCTTCCAACACTGTATCTCCATGTTTGTCTGCAGCTATCTAAGTGTGTAAGTGAAGGTTGTACAAATATCTGATCTTCATACGGTCACCAGGTAATGACATGGATAAGTGGTGTGCTAAGTGCTTAAATTGCCATGGCACTGCTCAGATATTGATTTGTTTATGTCCAACTGGAATTTAAATGTAACTGGATTTATTTAACCTTTGAAAAAAATAGGGAGCAGATTGGGCTCTATAAACTTTATTGCAGCAAGATAACTATTTTTGTCCCTACTCTTTACCTGAAATTGATTCTTGTGACAAAAAAAGTGTTATCCTGAAAATAAAGTGGGAGGGGGAAAGTGCTGAATTTCATATAGTTCATTCTCCAGGTATTTTTCTCAGATTGTCTATTTTATCCACTTCTCAGTGTTGTCATTATTATGCTTCTGATTACATTTGTAAACTTTTAAAGAACTATATGTATTTACTATACATTTTTTCTGCAATGCCTGTAACAGAAGAACCTAAAACCTTTGGAAAGTACCATGCTTTAATGCCAGACAGAAAATAAAAGGTGTTTCTAAGTTGGTTGTTAGAAAGGCAAAATGACCTTCAGTTGCTGTGCTATACGTGGAATTATGTGACTCTGTTTCCAGATGATACTGAGGAATCAGGTACTGGAGACATGGTTCGTCTGGTAGATGTTATCAAAACGGGTACTTCTGAGTTAACTTCAGCCTGCAGAGGATAAACCTCATTTTGTGAAGTCTCATAGTTCTAGTCTGAAACAACTGGGATCTACCTCCTTCCCCTATCCCTGTTAACCAAAAAAATCATGTGTATTTGGGCTTGATTCTAAGATCAAAGTAAACAATGGAAGACTTTCTACACACACAGGTCTGAATCTCCCTAAGATGGGAGCAGTATCCAACTCTGAAAGTTGAACATAATTCTCTGCAAATTACGGAAGGGTGGTTTATTTGACTGTTTGGCTCCATTCTTACATTTTAATCCCCTAATTTGGTCTCTGCAGGAGAAATGAAGGATGCAGGGGTTCCTTCTGGAAATCTGGGGATAGGGGAAATGCTTTCCACCCTACAGGTTAGAGGACACAGGACTTCTGTGTGCAAGCCTGAACAACCGCTTTGGCTCATCTTTTTTTCTGAAGGCCCCCCCGCCCCACCTGCTTTCCTTAGTTTAATGTACCACCAGTATTGTTTCTGCAGCGTTTAATGTCTGTAAAGCTCCGTTTCAGTGAGGCTCCTCTTTTTATGTTGCAATGTGGAAAGCGTAACATTCGGTATCTTTAATTACTGCTGTCCTGTTTGGTGCCTGCAGTACGATCGTGCTGTACCACATGATGACGTGGGGCCTCGCGGTGATGCTCTGCGTGGAGGGAATTGCACTGCTTTACTACCCTTCTCTCTCCAGGTAAGCAGGGCTCTGGGAACAGACTGCCAAATTGTACCACTCTCTGGTCGTTTGAATGTCTTTCGGTCAGCTTTAGAGACAGACATCCAAATGTTGGGGTTTTTTTGGTCTTTGACAAGCGTGTCCCACTGGGTCGGTGAGTATTCTAGAAATACCAGCCCAGCTTTCAGGGGACCCTGAAGAAATTTGCCAGGCAATACATGCACTTTGGCATGCAGCAGGGCTGTGATACAGCTTCTGCCATGAGCCACTGTTCTTCCACTCTTGGTTTTAGCTTTCTATTTGTTCCTTTAAATTTGAGAAAAAAATGCACAGACAGTGAAGGTTAAAAATCAACTTTGTGTCCTATGTGAACTGGTGCTGAAGATCTGTGAATTAAAAGTTTAGCATCTGTTAGCTTCATTCCTTTTATTTTTTTAAGTTGAAGATGACATAGATAGAATAGCCAGAACTGTCAGCTGTGGAAAAATAATGCGTAAGCTGTTAATGATTTCTTCTCAGCTGTGAAAATGGCTTGGAGCACGCAATCCCACATTACATCACAACCTATGCCCCACTCCTGCTAGTGCTGGTGGTCAACCCAATCCTGTTTAGGAGGACAGTATCAGCAGGTATGTTCCTAACGGCCAGCATCACTCAGTATGTGTGTGTGATTTAGCAACATAACAATACTGTAAAAAGTCATGCCTGCATATTCAGTGATGTGGGATAGCTCCTCATTAAATCGTAATGATACAGCAAAGGGTGGGAGGGACTTGCCTATTGAAATGAAGATACCATCTTGATGGGAGATTTGCCCTAGAGAGACGCTCTGACGGCATACTCAAGCTATGCAGATTGGCAAGGGTGTTTCTATGTTACTAAATTACTCTTGATTTGAAGTATCTGAGGCAGTGTGTAGTGGATGCTTAACTCTGCTGTAGTATTGGTACCAACCTGCACTCTGGAATGTAACTTATTCTGGTTTAAAGATAATGTTGGTGAGATCTGATAGTTGATAGTTGATTTAACTTCTTGGCGGCCCTGGGGAAAAAAAAAAAAAAAAAAAAAATCAGAATTTTGTCACTCCTGATTCTGAGATTATGAAACAAATGATAATTGTACAGAAGTCAGATGGGATCTTGAAGTTCCCATTTAATTTATTATCCAGTGCTTTGAAGAAATGAAACTTAAAAAAAGCCACAGATTCAATGCATTCTTTGCATGCAGTATGACCAGTGCTAGATGTTTGCAGTACCTGAATTCATACTTATCATCTACACATTGAATATATAATACCAGCTACAGAAGACCTTGTATTCTCAGTTCAGTCTTCATCCCATCTATCCTGCATCCCTCAATAATACTAATTTTCAAAAGAACAGTTGTCCCTTTAAAAAGTTGTTCATATAAAAAGTTGCTTTTTCGTATGGGAAAAGACACACTGTGTATATTTGTGTTTGTGCATATGTATATTCCTTGTGACATCTGAATAGCATGTGGCATAATAATGTCTATTTTGCTAATATTACACTGTCAAGTTTTAGAGGTGTAGCCAATGCTATATCAATTGACCAATGAAATATAATGTGCATAATAGCATAGAATGTATTCTATTTTAGTCTAAACATCACATAATAAATTTATCATTATATCACATGTTATACAGAAGTTGTAAGCACTACCTTTTGTTATAAAGCGAACTATGTTGACCATACTGTTTTCTATTTTCAGTGAGATTGACAGAAGAAAAACCAGCTAGTGGGATATCACTCATTTTAGGAATCCATAATGTGTACTTCTTTTCCTTTAGTACTAGGCTATATGTGAGATTCCGTGATGATGGTCTTTCCAGCTTCTGAAGTGCTGCTGGAGACAAATCCATCTGTTCCTTTGTTCCCTCTTTACAGACATCTCTCTTCTGGATCCTTGTGCCTATAACTAACAAGATACATGTATATTAATGAACATAATTATATACTTTCCAGTTGCCTCCTTACTAAAAGGGAGACAAGGGATTTACACAGAGAATGAAAGACGTCTGGGGACAGAGATCCAGATCCGCTTCTTCAAAATTATGCTGGTATTCATTATTTGGTAAGAGGTACATTATTTCGTTTTAAACTGCCTTTTTCCCAGCTGGAGAGGGTCAGGGACAAGAATAGAGTCTGATGGGTTGCTTCATTTGTTTGTCTTTATGCTTGGAAGGGAAGGTGTCTAAGGAAGAAGTAGCTCTAAACTAGTTCACAAAGTAGCTGAATCACTCATGTAGCATCACAGGGCTGCGAGGAAATGATAAAAAATGTTTAACCAACAGGAAGACAATAACTCCAAGAAACAATAGCAAAAAAAAAGGGTGGGCCAGACTAAAGCTGTCTGGAACAGCAGCTCCCCAGCACTGTGGGCTGATAGATGGCTTTCTGTACTCAAGATTTCTCAGAGTCTCTTGTCACCAAACACATCACTGAAAACCTACAATACATATGCTACTATGACTACCTTCATGGCCCTGACTATGGTTATAGAATGCAACCACCTCTGTGGTCTGTAGATCCCATGTGTGTGAAAAAAGCACGGATATCGACTGGAAATACAGGGTCATATGCCAGAAAAGAAATCTCCGTATGATTGTGTGTGAAATTTCCGATCATTTAATCTTCTTTTTTAAATATTCCATCTTCCTGCATGAAAATAGTACTTTGGGGGAGGACAGGAAGGAGTTAAGAGAGAGGGAACAAAGAAAGTGGGGAAGGAGGGACGCTAAACACCTCATCCCTAAATCCCTGCACCTTTGCTCCAGCAGCACCACCCAGTGTGAAAGATCCTGGCGTGGTTAACTGGAACTGGAGGTACTGGATGCACACACCAAAACTGAGCTGGAATAGGGCCTGCTTTTGGAGAAAATGTTTTTTTTTTTACTGCAATCTCACAATTATCACACAGCGATAAAGGCCCCAGAAGGAGTGGTGATCCACTCTGCAAGGGTCTGTGCAATGAGCTGGCAAGAAGCAGTCCCCGCTGTGAAGTGTTTACGACCTACGTGGGTAACACAAGCGACGGGGGGGAAGGAAATGGTCCTGGAGTAGTGAAATGGCTTGGCCAAACTTAACAGTCTCTACAGCTACTGACGTTTTGTATACACAGGTACATTAATGCATGTTACGTTGCTTTAAAAGGCTGAGAAGGGAGAAAGATTGCCTCCTTGTCTTCTGCCTGCTGTAAACCGGAGTGCTCTGGAGGGAAATGGTTGTCTTTTCTTGGGGAAGAACAGAGTCCGCTTGCCTGGGAGAGGGGTTTCTGGTGCGAAAGGTGGGGTAGCCGGCAGGGGAGGGGGTGAGACGGCAGGGAAGGACCCCGCAGCACGACCTCCTGGAAATTGCTGAAATAACGAGGAGCAGGGACTGAGCCAGGCTTCCAGGGCTGTGGAAACAAAGAGCCCAGAGGCACTGCAGAAGTGCGTTGCAACCTAAGGAGCGGTGGCCAGTTTCTGGTCGGGGAGCAAGCATGAAAGAAAGGACCGATTCCCCAAGGACACAGTGGGGACATCTGTTTATTTCCATGCTGTCTCATTCTAGGTTTTCCTATTAAATGAAATAATCACAGCTGTAGTTTTGCATTTTGTTCTCCTAATAAAACATAAGCTTTAGAGTATAAAAATTCTCTCAAAGGTCACTGTAGGGAAAGGCTGAGGCAGTCCCGTCTCAGAAGCTTAGGGAAGATTCCCTTCCATCCCAGAAGTCAAATATGAGCTGAATTTGTCGAAGACAGCAGGTTGGGGCAACACGGGGTAGAAGAGCTGCCTGCAGATATGGGAGGGGAGAGCAGGAGGATTTACACTGTGATAAAAATATAATTGCAGGAAGGACATGTATAAACCCATTTAGAAAGCATGACATGAATTCTGATAATTTCCTTTCTGAAGCTGCAGTAGAACTATAAAGAAACACTGGTCTGTCTGTTTAGAAGTCATTAGAAGTTACAGCCATTTGCTATAACCTTTATTTAGTGTAGAATATCCTCAGTCTCTTTCACAGGATGAGGCGTGATTATGCTCATCCTTCTTTGGAAACAGAAATTGCCTTTATTCCAAAACTTTGATGGCATTTTCAAGGGTTTTAAAGTCAACTTTTGTTTTGCTTTGTAGTTTTTTTATGGACATTTTGAAAGTCTGCTGTAATCTAACCCTGAAATTCTAATGCCAGCTGGAGTTTCTGCAGCCTTTTACAACATATATGCATGTATTTGGTCTCCTTACCTGTAAGCACTATCCTTTTAAGCCACAAGCAAAAGAAGTCAGCATGCATGATATTCCCATTATGGATCACAGTTGTGTATCATCTCAATTTTATCCTGCAGCTTACTGTTCTGCAGCAAGCTCAAATAATCAGATTCTTTTTTTTTGTTATATTGATTTCTTCGTCTAGGCCTGGGCTAGTAGGTAAGTGTCTGGTTTTTGATCATGATCTGAGAGACCTACTGGTCCCTTAAGATTGAGACTTAACGTAAAAAAAATATAAATCTCACTCTCCTTATTAGTGATCCTAATTTCTATAATTTAAAAGTAAAACATATTTTACATATACATGTATATGTATAACTGTTGTCTTCTTCTTTACTCCTGCAATAGCTGGTCATCCAATATCATCAATGAGAGCCTTTTGTTCTATCTCGAAATGCAGCCAGATATCAATGAAATACCCCTGAAAAACATCAGAAGTGCTGCACTGATCACATGGATTATAATGGTAGGTCAGCCATGACATTGCTGAGTCTTAGAAATCACTTTTATAAGACTGGTGGAACAGCACCAGTGTAGCGGGTGGTTTATGATTTTGGGGGATATAAACACTCTGAAAATGAAGGAAGAAAAGCAGAAAGAGAGAGGAGGGAGTGGTCACTGGGAGTGCTTTTCACTTTTAAACTTTGTGAAAAATGTACCAAAGGCCAACTTTTTCTCCCATTTACTGGAGTATGCATTCTCTCTGTGAGTGATTGCTACCCATTTTAAGATCTGGAACAGACCACTACACTGATTTCTAGTCTAACCTTGCTAACCTCTGCCATAAAGCAAGCTACAAAGTTTTAGCTCATGATTCCTGAAGTTTCCCCAATAAAATGGGCATTTTCTGGTAATTCTCTGTTTGTAACTAGGGTTTTCTTTATTATAAAGAATAATTGCATCTTACATCGTGACATTTGAATAATTATTTGGGGACAAATACATGAAAAATCTTGAAAGCAATGAACCAAAAAATAGCTGTAAGATGCTGGCCTCTTACTGTACCCTACCCTTTTTTATCCTATTGGAATATTTGAGGGAATATTGCAGGTTCCTTTTCCAAGAGAGTTTATTCTGGATCTGTTAAATACCTGTAAGGCCTAAGCACGCTTTGTGTAGTTAAGTCCTTGAGCAGTTTTGTATTGAAGGGCTAAGCGATGTAACGGATTTGCTACAACCTCCTCTGACAAGGAGCAAACACATTCCTGTGGCAGGGACCTTGCTCTTACTCACCTGGAGAGTGAATTTTTTTGGAAATCACTTGGGATTTTCTTTTTCAGTGTCTCTCCCCATTCTTCCATCCCACTTTGATGGACATTTTCACTGCCTCAGGAATCTGCAGCAATTCAAGACAGCTCAATTCCTGCTATTTTAAAAAACTCGTGTGTGCTAGTGTCTACTCTCCTATATTTGACTTGGCTTCTAGTGAAAAATATAGTATTTTCTTTTGTGAATAAAAAAGTTTAGACCTTGTGGGGAAAGTTAAAAACACACCAGGGAGTTGACCAGCTAAAATCCATGCTAGAAAACCTTTTGGTGCTTACTGTTCACTGGGATGGCCTCAGCATATTGGAACAACAGGTCGTGGTGTTTCACTCCGACTTGTTTGTGTCTGCAATGGGAAAAACCACACATTTTTATTTGCATGCAAATAGCATATTTTAAAGACAGCAATCGTTCAGTGAAAGGGAAGTTGTTAATGCATGCAAAGTGTTTTGCTGGAGTTGAAAATGGAGCTGCTGGTGTAACTCCTGTTGTGCTTCTCTTTCCTAGGGGGTTCTTAATCCGATGCAAGGCTTCCTCTTCACGTTAGCTTTCTATGGCTGGACGGGATGGAGAGTGGACCTGAAATGGCGAAAAAGAGAAATACCCTGGGAATCAATGTCCTCATCAACTGTGGGTGAAAATGCCTATCCCTCACCAGTGAACTACCAAAGCAACATCCACGATTCAAAGAAGATATCGACAACTGACAGCCAGCAGACCGATGAGGCTATAAGCATGTTGTCTGAAGGTAACACTAGTGGTGATGACCGGTTAACCAGGAGCTCTCCCATCTACCAGGGCTGGTAGTTTATAGGCACAGAGCTGGAGCCCGCTTCACACGTTGTCAATAAAACCACGTCACTGTGTGAACTGTTGTGTACTCTGGAATTAGGTTTGTGCCCAATGGCTTGACGGCATATCCTATAACTTGTGTGTGTGTGAGAGAGAGAGCGTGTGAGACAGATATTATGGTTTATGTCTTCATTTACTTTATAGGAGATGCGTTAACAGGTATAAAGGCCTGATCCTTTTTCAGCAGGAGTATATCTCTGCGAAGATCTCTGTTACTTATGATTTGTTTTCATCCATTTTGTTTTAATCTCTCTTGTAACCCCCAGATGGTAGAAGAGTCTTTTGTTTAAATAAATGGACTATTAATATGTTGGGTTTTTAAATGTATTGCCTTGCTTGCCTTGCTAGCATAAAATTCCTCATCCAGAATTACAGCTGAAGGATTTCTGAGACATCATTTCCAGCCTTGACACTCTGGTAAAACATTAGTGACAGCAAACTGACATAAGCACAAATATTTCCTGTTTGTGTAGAATTTCACTAACATAGTCTTCTTTTAGCTTGTTTATATGAATTTTCAGTTTGGTTTTATCTAGGGAGCTGAAAGGCTTTTTTAAAAAAAAAAATCAAGCCCAGCCTAGGCTCCATAAACACTTCAGAACAATGGTTCCAGTTCATTCTTGGTTCAAGCAAAAATAACCCTTCAAACTATTTTTTAGTATGGATTAAGTTTGATCCTTACATGTACTTGTCTAACAGGATTATGACTGTTAGGGGCAGGCGCATTAAGAGCTAACATTTGCAAAAGACACCTAGGTGATCTGAGTGCTCATCAAAAACCAGAATAAGTACAATCAATAGTCCTTTCTGTGAGGCGTGCTCTGTTTTATGTCTTCATCTGAACAAAAAGATATTAAATCCATTCTCCTTATCTTCTCAGATACATACCTCTTTTGGTGCAGTGCCCTAAGTACCTATATCCAAACAATTCCCCGGATTGGTTGAAAGTTAAGAAAAAATGATGACCGTATCTACCCCAGGCTTTTAACTTCGTATCAAAAGTAGAAGTAGTACGATTTAAGTCTGGTTGTGCTGGAAACTATTTACGATAAAGTTTGACCGATGGCGTGGTGGAAGCCCCTTGAGCCCAGGCAAGCTCCCCCCCTGCCCC